TTGACCAGGATGGTCTCGATCTCTTGACCTCATGATCCACCTGCCTCGGCCTCCCAAAGTGCTGGGATTACAGGCTTGAGCCACCACGCCCGGCCTAGCGCTTTCATTTTCAAGAGAAAATAGAGGGACAGAAAGGTCATGCAGGCCAGGAGTGGTGGTTGACACCTATGATCTCAGCACTTTGGAAGGCCAAGGTGGGCAGATAACTTGAGGTCATGAGTTCAAGTCCAGCCTGGCCAACATGATGAAACCCCACCTCTACTAAAAATACAGAAAATTAGCCAGGTGTGGTGGTGTGTGCCTATAATCCCAACTACTCGGGAGGCTGAGACAGGAGAACCACTTGTACCTGGGAGGCGGAGGTTGCAGTAAGGTGCGAGATCATGCCATTGCATTTCAGCCTAGGTGACGGCAAAACTCAGCCTCAAAAAAAAAAAGAAAGGTCACATAGCTTTCATTCTTCCAGCGAATGAGCCTCACTCACACTGCTTGTTACAATGAGTTACGTGACTTTATTGGGAATCAGTCCTGAGTGAAGCCTGAAGTCAAAGCCTGCTTTCAGGTTTTCAGGCGGAGCCTCAAAACAGACTAATGAAGAGTGGCTCATGTTTGGAGCTTTCAATCGCCTATTATTCATCATATCTTTGTTTCATGCCAGGAACGCTTCTGGGGCTGAATGGTGTTGGTGCAGGATCTGAGTTCCAGGAAGCCCTGAGATTTAATGGGTCCTGAGGTTTGGAGTAGTATCTTGCTGCCTAACATCCAGGATCAGCCTCTCTTGTCTAGAGATGAGCTGCTCGTCACTGGGGACCTGAGGTTTCAGTGAGAGGAGGGGAGGGGACAGTAGGACAAAGCTGGGCCTCTGAGGGTCACTGGTAATATAGCCTTGCAAGTAGCTACAGGCCCGGGAGCTCATCAAGGCTTGATGCTATTGGCTTGTGGAAAGGAATGCTGCTCTCGTTTTTCTTTGGCTTCTTCAGCTCTTGGGAGTGGGAGGGAAACTAAGGAAGGTGGGTTCAGCCCGAAACAAAGGCACATCCCATTACTCTCTCTTTCCCCAGATCTGGAGCCCCTTCTGGGCTTGGCTGAGCAGAGGCAGGTAGACTTATGGGAGAGAAAGGAAAGAGGTGGGCAGAAGGAAGCTGCCTCTTGATGACAGTTTTTGTGGGTTTTTTTTTTGAGACAGAGCCTCACTCTGTCACCCAGCCTGGAGTGTAGTAACATGATCTTAGCTCACTGCAACCTCCACCTCCTGGGTTCAAGTGATTCTCCTGCCTCAGCCTCCCAAGTAGCTGGGATTGCAGGTGCCTGCCACCACACCCAGGTAATTTTTGTATTTTTAGTAGAGATAGGACCTCACTATGTTGGCTAGGCTGGTCTCAAACTCCTGACCTCAGGTGATTCACCCACCTTGTCTTCCCAAAGTGCTAGGATTACAGGCATGAGCCACCACACCCAGCCAATAGTTTTTGTTTCTTAGAGAGAGGGTCTGGCTCTGTTGCCCAGGCTGGAGGGCAGTGGCATAATCATGGCTCACTGCAGCCTCCAACTAGTGGACTCAAGCGATCCTCCCACCACAGTCTCCTGAGTAGCTGAAGCTACAGGTGTATGCCACCATGTCCAGCTAATTCTTTTTTTAAATTTTTTTGTAGAGATGGGTTCTAGCTATGTAGCCTAGTCTGGTCTCAAGCAATCCTCCTGCCTCGGCTTCCCAAAGTGCTGGGATTACAGGTGTGAGCCACTGCACCTGGCTAGGAATGTCATTTTGGAAGTGATAAAGAATGCCATGTTTAGGAAGTAGCAGGAAGAGCACTTGACAGGGAGTCAAGAGACCTTGGTCCTAGTCTCAATATTGCTACCACTTTGGCCAAGCACGGTGGCTCACACCTGTAATCCTAGAACTTTGGGAGGTGGAGGAGGGTGAATCACCTGAGGTCAGGAGTTCAAGACCACCCTTTCCAACATGGAGAAACCCCATCTCTACTAAAAATACAAAAAAATTAGCTGGGTGTGGTGGTGGGCACCTGTAATCCCAGCTACTCAGGAGACTGAGGCAGGAGAATCACTTGAACCTGGGAGGCAGGG